ATTCCCCGCAGTCATCTCACGTCCTTGCAGTTGCTTCGGGGCCTTTGTAAACAACCCTGTACGAAGCATGCACTTTCCGCTTCTCTCCACAGACGCGCCACCACCCTCCCTGGGACCTTGCCCGTCAGCCTCGCTTCCTAGAACTGACCGAGTTATTTGCTTGCCTGTTTGTTAGCGTGTGCCCTTCCCCAAGGGAGTGCAAGCCCCACAGGAGACGGAGCATGCGGTCTTCCCTGAACACGTAGCGGACACGGTGTCACACGCCCCACGCCTTCGTATTAGCCACCGTTATACGGTGATTAGTCTGTTCTCTGACGTGAAATCCTGGCTACTCTAGTGCATTAGCAGTTACGTTAGCACTTTTGTATTTAAAAAACCAGAAGACTGGCTTTCACCCCGTATTTAGGAATCTTAAACTTACCATGTATGGCTTCTTGGTAACCAGGTGTCTTTGCCGACTTTTTCAATGCAGAATTTTTGAGGCCCATTACTTCCTAAAACCAGGAAAATCAGACAATGTATCCATCCGATCCTTTAAACTTTTTGGTTTTGACTAAACAGAACATGTCACACAGTTTTATTAATGTCGCTTGCTCCTGCCTGGAGAAGGGCCTTAGAGCAGCAGAGGCCCACCCGTGAGAATGCTGGCGGGGGCACAGCAGTACCGGGCTGTGTGACACCCTCACTCTTAAGCGCTAGTTGTCTCTCTCCTGGTGCAGACGCCCTCCCGAGCACCCAGGAGCCTCAGGTCCGAGCCCGGTGTCCGTCTGAGGCCGAGACCGCAGAGCCACCTGCACGGAGCCCGCACTCACCCATGAGCTCCGCGAAGCCTCCCAGGGGCAGGCGGCAGGTCCCCGTGACGAACTGCAGCAGCCGCATCCTCACTTCGTTGTCTGTCTCCTTCACGAACTGCAACAATCAAATTCACCTTAAATCTTCAATCATGAAATAGTAGGCACTTAAATTATTCCTACATTTCTTCTACAAAATTAAGAATTTGAGAAATTTAACTGAAATAGTACAAAAGACACGTGACAGAAAGCGGTCGTAGCACTGACCACGTACCAGAACTGGGCCAAGGACGCTGGGAACCCTCCTCCGTCAGCCCCAGCCACTCCACAGGCTGGCACTGCCGTCCATCCCTCTCTGAGAGGAGGCGGAGGCCTGTGCTGGGTCACCCTGAAAGGTGGCCAGGACAGACGCTGCGACAGCTCCAGCGGTGCTGAGCGCTGCCTGCAGTGCTGAGGGAGACACTCCCCACTGCACGTGTGAGGAGACAGGCCCAGACAGGTGACGTCCGTGTCCTCAAACTGCTGGTGAGTGGCAGAGCTACATGTGAACTCGGGGCCACTTGAGCGCTGAAGCCGCTCTCCCGCCCGGGCCGGCCCCCCTCCCCCAGGGCCTGGCTGCCACTGCCGAGCACGCGTCCTGTCGCCCACTGAACACGTCCCCGGCTCTGCGCCGCACTCAGAGACCCAGAGGATGCGCGTTCCAGACGCACTTCGCTCATTCTTTTTCAAAGAGGGCACAAACGGGTAACATGACATGCTGACTTGAGGTGGTCTGAGCAGAGAAGGCTCGCAGACAGCAGCACACTGGCCAGGGGACAGAGCCGTACTGAGCACATGCTCCGTCAGGACACAGGGAACAGCTCTGTGGCCAGGTCTGGCACAGAATGAGCCCCTCAGAAACCACAGCTGTTCACGGGGACACATGGCCCCCCAGGGGCAGCTCCTCGGCTTTACAGACACAAGTGCCCACCGGGGGGAGCCCGTGCGGGGAGGGTCCCTGCCTGCGTTGTGTGTGAGGCAGCTGGTGTGTCAGGCCTGGGAGGGACTGTCACTGTTCTCTTTAGTCTGCACGACAAGGCAGCAGCGTTCAGGGGTGACGGAAGGGCCTGCGCCGGCCGCCACACCCGTCCTGACGTCCGACACGGACTCCCTTCAACCGAACGCTGCCTTCCCCCTCAGCACCGTACGGAAACATCTCCTGTTATGTTCACTAATTTGCATTTTTAAGAGAGAATGGTCATGAGGGGCGCTGCCTTCCCCCTCAGCACCGTACGGAAACATCTGTTATGTTCACTAATTTGCATCTTTAAAAGAGAATGGTCATGAGGGATAGGACTACGGAACGGCCGTGTCGCAGCTCCTCAGCCCCTCCTGGGCACCGACTGCCGCAATGGCAGAATGGCTGTTGGTTTGCGCCAGGGGCGTGCGAGCGGCTCCGGCGTGAGACACGTTTCCAGATGTGTCCGCACGTCTTTAGACTGTTGAGCAGTACTTTAAAAACATGACACACGTCCTTATGAAAAGATGCAACTTTTGGACAATCTTTCTACAGTAATACGAATTCTCAGACTTTTCACCTGACAGTGAACTAGTTAAGCGACGTGAAAAGGGTCAGTCACTGAGTGGCTCAAACGAGTCTCAATTACAGAGCGCGTGGTCCTCCTCAGACATCGCCCTGCACACGTCGCCTGCAGAGCATCCGGAGTCTGCTCTGACTTTCTCCTTAGAGACACGCTCCTCCTCGGCTTCTAGAACTAGGTGAAGACGAAGGCACACACCTGCCAAAACCAGACGATCTGCTTGCTGTTCCGCGTGTAGTGACGGTACACGGCGTTCCTCTGCCAGTCGGCCAGGTCCACCTCCTGCATGCCGCACAGCATCACCTGGGGAGCGAGCAGACGCGGTCAGCGGGTCCGGGGCACAGCGCTCCGTGCCCGAAACTCACACGCAGCGTGCGCGGGCTCAACACGCGCCTGACGACGGGCACGAAAGGCAGACCCAGCGAAATTTGTGGCAATTTATCCCACAGGGTTCTTTGGTACTTTATCTTATCGAACTCAAACTGAAAACATTTACAGTAACTTCAAGAAAAATGTTAGCTGTGCTAAAAATTTATATAAATACATCCTAAGTTAGGTATCTAAATTATTGGTAACTTTCAAACAAATTTGTTTAAATCTGTGCTATCTCATCTACTTAAAATTAAACATATGCTAACCTGTTATTTAGGCTTTGGGGATATTTTATATATGTAAAATCTTCAAATAACCCGTTTATTATACATGCTATGAAACGTGTGTGTAAATAGCATGGTGCATATTTTTCTCAAACCTACTCTGAACTGTAATCAATAGACAATAAGATGCACGTGTTTTCAGTGTGACGTTAGGTAGCTCTGCCGCCGTGGTCAGTGCACGATATTCCCACTGAGCTGCCCCCCTCAGATGCCCGGGTGACAGCGATTCCACCGCGGAGTAGGCCTGAGAACTCCCATGATGCTCGCGCACACGCACACGCACGCTCTTTCCCGTCTCCCTCCCCAGCACCGCGCTGCGTGACTGACCCACGTGCCGTCGGGGCTGGTACTTCCTTCGTGCTGCTGAGTATTTGATTACATGAACGTACAACAGTTTGTTGACCTGGTGGACAGAGTTTTGGTGTGAACAAATTTAAGGTGAGCACGGATGCGAGGGTCTGTGTGTGGGGTACATGCATTTCACTTGGGTTAACAGCTCACAGTGGGACCGCCAAGGATGAGGCCGATGCAGGTGTGACTCCGTCAGGGACCGCTCACGCGGCCCCAAAGTGGCACTTCTTTGGGCTTTCCTTGCATTTCCCCGTGACTGATGAGCCCCTCCCATGTGTTTACTTGCCTTCGCTATAGCTTTTGTGGCCTCTCTGCCCCTTTAAAGAAGGGTTTGCCTTTTTAACCAGCTACATATTCTAGATGGAAGACTTTTGTCACCGTCTCTCCCACTGCGCGGGCTGACTTTCATTTACTTAGCGGTGTCTTGAGGAGCAGCAGGTTTTAGTTTTGATGAGTCTGGTTTAACCTTTTTGGGGGTGTGGTTTATTGCATTTTCGTGCTCTCCCTAAGAAACTTCTGCCTGCACCAAGACTTGTCTCCTGTTTTCTTTTTGGCTTTCATGCTGAGGTTGGACTTCAATCTTCAGGGGCTGAGGTAGGGTTAATTTTCTCCCACACGGCTACTATCCCTTTCATCCAGCATTTGTGCAAAAGACTTTCCCTTCCTCACTGAAATACACTTAACACTTTCATTAAAAATCAGTGACAGTTTACGTGTGCCTCTATTTCTGGACTTTCAAGTATTCCAATGATATCTTTGTCACAAACACTACATTCTCTTAATTGCCGTGACTTTATAATTCTTGAAATCAGGTGGTAGTGGACATGTCCAAGTTTGTCATTTTTCAAAACTTTTGGCTAACATAAAGTCTTTGTATTTCCCAGTAATTTTAAAATCTCAGCCTGTCAGTTTTTACAAAAAATTCTGCTGGGATATTGACTGGGATTGTGTTACGTATACAGATTAATTTGGAGATAACTGACATTTTCACAATATTGAGTCTTCCAATACATAACATGATATAACTCTCCATTTATTAAAGTCATCCTTACTTTTTCTGAGCAATGTTTTGAGTTTTTAGTATAGAGGCCTTTCATGTCTTTGGTTAAGTTTGTTTTGTTTTGTTTTGATGCTTGAGTAAATGAAACTTTAAAGTTTCAATTTCCAAATGTTGCTGGTATATAGAGGCTATACATTGATTTTTTAAAAATTATTAACCTATACCCTGTAGTCTTATTAAATTCACTGTTACGTCTAGTAGTTTTTTGGTGGCTTCCCTGGCATTTCCTAACTCGAAATTACCTTATCGTTTGTGAATAAAGGCAGTTTTACTCTTGCCAGTCTCTGCTTTTCGTTTCTCTGTTTGCCTCATTTTACTGGCCCGGGCGTCTGGCACAGAGCAGACATGGTGAGTGGACATCTTCGCCCTGTTCCCAGTCTCCACGTGTACATGTGGGTGTCACCGTTTACGGTGACATCACAGTCTCTCTCCATTGCTGACCCCTTTATCAGAGTTGCCTTCCATTCCTAGCGAGAGTTTTTATAAGGAATAACGTTATCTTCTTAAAGCCAAAAGGGGCATGATTACGAACATTTCGAATGACGGCGTGAATACCGATCACTAAGGTCTGACTCGAGGTCGGGGGCGATGAATGGGAGTAAAAGCCCAAAGAAAGTGAGACAAACCAAAAATGGATGGATGTTTTCTCATAGCTCTGTCCTGTGAGCTAAGGGCAAATCAGCAGCAAATACAGACAGTAGCCTCTGTGTGTGTAAAAGGAGATCATCATCAGCCAGATTGTGTCACGGGGCTGTGCATGTGAACATAGGGAAGGCCACCGAGGGCCAGGTAAAAGCTCGTCCCCTCCTGGGCTGCTGCCCGTCTCACAGCTGCCCTCGTGCGGGGCCCACGGGGGACCCCCGTCCACCTTCCAGCAGGGCCTCAATACCATGGGCGTGTGCATCCTGACGCACGAGGCTTAGTGCAGTCTGTGGGTAAGAAATAGTTCACGTGCTCCACAGAACTTTCTGCCCGTTCTAACATGTCTGCTCGTGCGTGTGCAGCCGTGACAGGAGACGCGTCCCTCAGGCTCGGTCCTGAGTCTCATGCACGTCCCACGGGGGTCCGCTTCCAGAAGGCCATTATCTATACAGGACACCACCATGTAAAACTTAGAGCGCTAATTTCTCACATGCCCGTCTGATGACATGAATGAGTCAGGTTTCCTCGTGGAGGATCCAAGGTGGCCAAAGCTAAAATGCTGTGCCCAGAGGCAGCCAGGACCGTCCTGGGGCCCTGCCTGTGTCCCAGCCACGGAAGACCGTGCCACAAACGCATCGTGATTAATCTTTAGGGAAATAAAATCAAAACCACAATGAGACGTCGTCACACCCATCACGATGATCACTACAGAACGAAACGAAAAACGTAGGCAAGGATAGGACCTTGCACACGTGGTGGGCGTGTAAAACGGCGCAGCAGCTGAGAAGGACGGGGTGGCCGGTCCTCAGCGTTAAACACAATCACTGCGTGACCCGGCAGGACCGCCGCCAGGTGTGTTTTCCGAGGTGAAAGCAGAGAGGTCGGTACAGCCGTGCTCACAGCAGCCACGACGGAGCGCCCCAAAGGTCACCCCACATAAACAACGTGCACACACAGACAGCGGGACACGAGTGGACCTGAAGGAGGAGGGGTTCTTCCACGTGCAGCAATCGTGAGTGCCCCCCGGCCACAGGAAGACGCCACGCGCCTCACTGCCCTGAGACGGCAACCACAGCCAGGGACGGTGATGGTGCCAGGGACAGGAGGGGGTGGGGAACGGGGACGGAGGCCGCTTCAGCACGGCGGAGCAGCTCCGGGTGCGGGCTGCGCGGCCACGCGGACATCCTTGGCGAACCGCGTGCTTAGACGTGGCTAAGGTGATAAACCGTATGGGCCTTTTATCGCCGAAGAAAAAATAGTTCCTGATACGCTTGTAACAAGTGTGAATTCAGCAAAGACCACAAACAACTCTGTCCTGACTTTAAAATCTGGTATTTGGGGCAACTCACTACTTTCCAAGAATTCTCAAAATGAGCAACGAGGCTGCATTCACCGTTCGGGACCCCGAATGCTGGCACCGATTCGTGACCTTGTGCCACACCATCGCCATGGCCCAGAGGACCGCGGCCCTCCCCGCCGCCCCCCTGGACACGTGGAAGGGCGACAGGGCTCAGGGCTGTGCCACGGGGCCTACGCTGCCCCTCCCGCCAGCACCCCTGCAGTGCGCGACGAAGCTCCTCACCTCCAGTTCCTTTTCATCAAAGTACTGCAGCCACTGAAGGGGCACGACCTCGTTGAAGCCGTCGAGGAAAGCTTTGGTCTGTTCCTGCACGCCGCGAGAAAAACGCCACTCTGCCATCAAACTGAAATGAAAACGCTGTTTAACAGAGGTCATCTGCACGTGAGGCGACAGGTTAGAAACAGCAAGCGCCCCTAAATCCCTCCTCCTCCCGAATGTGCCGCACGCGTCCCTCACACGCGTGTCATTCCGCTGCCTTGTCTGCAGTGGCCCAAAGTGGACGTAACCAAGTGACACCTAATAGCAGAAATGGCTTAACGAAATGGAATGTGCGCACCGTGATTTATCCAGCTGTCAGAAAAGGGGTTAGGTCTATCGGGGCCGACCTGGAAAAAGCAAGCTACAGAGTCACGTGCATCCCACGATCCCACTGTGGAAACAACTGTGAAAGCGAACATAAGAACCCGTAAAGGGAGACAGAGACGCCGTGGAGCGCGCGTCTCAGAGGAGGCTGGAAACGGTGGCAGCTGAGCAGAAACGGGTCCGGGGAGGCGACGGGGGGAGAAGCACGAGAAGTCGGCAGTGCCGGAGCTGGCAGACCACGGCCTGCGGGCCCCACCCCGCATGTGAGCCAAGAGTAGTGAGTCTCTACATTTCTTTTAAATGGTTGAAAAATATGAGAAAATATTCAAGGATTTAAAAACTATGTGAAATCAAATCCCACTGCCCACTAGCGGTCCGGTCCCACGGGGACCCAGCCGCACGTGAGCGCAGAGGACAGCAGAGCCTGAAACCTCTACTCCCGGGCTCTTCCTGGGAGTCTGGAGCTACCCGGCTGGCAAATGGGCATCACCTCTGAGGTACGGGGACCGCTGTAACAAACAGGCCGCAGCCCTGGACGACGCCCCCGGCCAGAAGTGGACAGAGAGGCGGCACTGGCCGAGAGGTGACGAGAACCAGGAGGCGCTGGGGCCACGCAGCTCGAGGGACATGTGTCTGAAAGTGGGGGTGGCCGCCGGGGTTCGACTCGGAGCACTGCTCCCCTCGCCGGGCTGCAGCCCCCTCGGCGTGTCCTCTGGACGGAGGTGAGATGCACGCGGCAGGGGGCAGTGGTGGGGAGAGGGTCGCCACGCGCTCGCCCTCCTGGAACGTGGCACAGCTGACGAGCACGAGAGCATCGGGCGAGGGAGGGCGCTGCAGCTGAGCCTGGCGTGCTCGGAGGTCGAGGGAACACAGGACGGTGACGGGGGTGACTGTGGGACGCGTTCCCAGGAGCCGACAAGAGGCGAAGCCCGGTGCAGACGGACAGCAGCGTAGCAGGCTCTCCACGCTCTAGACACCGAGGTCACCACGTCCCGTGCATCGTCTCACCCGATATACTCGTCCTTGTTCTCCTCTGTCACCAGGATGTTGGCGCCTCCCAGCTTCAGGTCATGTGAAGTGACTTTTCCCAAAATCTCCATGTCAACAGAAAAGTACATTTCTAAGCCACATTCTTCAATGTTGTTGTCTCTGGGTGATAAAAAAACATATATACTAATTAACAAGATACGTAAATTGGTTTAAAAAAATGCTTTACTGAAAGATAAATGTTTGAACCTTATCCAGATGAGGGAGTTATAAAATTCGGTATCGATAGATTCCAAATCCTTAATGGTCAGTTTCTTACTCAGCATACGCTTGTAGAATGGCAAAGAGAAACCAGTATCAATAAACTTGCCATGGAAAAGTGCCTGCCAAGAAAAACAAAAGCTTTGCTTAAAACTTACAAATTAACGGTCTTTCTTAGAGCACAATGCTAACAGAGAAATCATGAGGCCTCGCAGGCCAAAAAAAAAAAGCACCGAATGACTAATTAGCATAAATCACGACAGCTAAAATATAAAAGGCTAAGTACGAAAAGCTAAGAGGTGAATCGTTTACCTGAGTCTCTCAGCTCCGCCATGTCCTATCAGTAAGCGGAAGAGGATGCCACGGGAGCTCGACGACCCCACCCCAACGTGAGGGGGACTGACCCCTCCGTCCCCTTCCGGACCTTGCAGGTGCCCAGAGGAAGCTCAGGGCTGCCCCTCCGTCTGCCAGTGCTCCACGGCCACGGGCAGCGTGGGGAGCCCCGGGCCCCTCGGCACCCTACTCGCCGCACCGCTCATACCCCCCGAGCCACCTGCTCTGCCCCCTGCTCCGACGCCGTGACCTGGGGAGCGATGGCCCAGGCTGCAGCTGGCCCAGCTCCGAGGACTCGGCTTCCCCTCCAGCCCTCTCAGGGGTGCTGTTTCTCCCTACGTCAGCAGGCTGGAGGTGGGGTGCGGTGGGGTGCCCCTCACCACAGACCCCTCCTCCCTCCCCCCAGCTTTAACCTCCCTGGAGGCAGGCGACCCACTGCTCCTGGGTCACCGAGACCTCCGGATTTATCCCCTCGGCCCCCACGGCTCCCCTCTGAGGCAGACAAGCCTCTCCCCGCCCCCTCTCCCCGGCCAGACACGGCCCGCGTCTGTGCTCGCTGCTCCCCTAGCAGCCGCGGTGCCCTCCTGGTCTGCGGTCCACACCCCGCCCTGCCGGCTGCCTCCAGGGGGTCCCGCCAGTCCCGGGGCCCTGGCCCTCCCCTGCACCCCGCTGCCTCACACTGTCAGCCGGCACGCGCCCCGGGCACCATCGCACCACCCGCCGGCGACGCGTCTGGCAGAACCCAAGCCGCGTGAACCCAGCGCTCGGCCGCTCCCCGCCTGTGCCTGGGCGGTGGGACGTGCTGGAACGGGCACCCGGCCACGTGCCTGGCTCAGTGCCACCTGGTCCTCGCCCACCCTGAGCCCCGCCCACGGTCTGCTCTCCATGTCGCCGAGGAGACGCCGCCGGGAGGACTCCTGCGTGGCCCGGGCACTCACGACCTCCGTCCCGCCTCTCTGCTCGTCGTCAAGGTCACCACTCCACAGCCCCAGCCAGTGACCGGCTTGCCCTCGTCCTCCGCAGGGCGGTGGGGGTCTCCTCCCGTCTCCACGGCAGGCCCACGTCTGCTCACTGCCTCGTCCCCCTGCGCGTCGGCCGGTCACCTGTTCACCCATCCGTCCGTCCTTCCCAGCATGCGCCTCCCTCTCCCCGTCTTCTGGGAACCATTCTCGTTCACCGTGTGCCCTCCCTGACTTACAAACGTAACGTCCTTTGAGTTCTCGTCCGGCCACCCGTGTCCCTTAAACGACAGCACAGCCTCACCTAGCCGTCTTCCCTCATCACATATTTGTCCGCACCTTCGACCCGCTCATGCCCCGTATGTGACCGGCCCGCTGCTGCCGCATCCGCTGCCACTGCCACTGCCACAGCCACAGCCACAGCCACAGCCACGCGCCCGCACTGCGCCAGGCAGGCTGCTGCTCAGCCTGCCCCCCCGCCGCCCCCTCGGCCTGGAGCGCAGCGCTACACGGTGGCCGCGTGACCATGAGTAGACGTGACCAACGAAAACGCCTGCTGCTTTTAGAAAATCCTGCGAGGACATTGGAAATAAAGTTTCAACGAATGAACGAGTAACGAGAGTCAGGGCTCACCATGGCGATGAAGCGGCCGATGAAGCAGAAGTAGGCGAGGTGGTCGGGGTTGATGGTGGACGCGGGGTTGATCTGCAGGCAGTAGTTGTTCTTGCCCGCGTACTCGAACAAGCAGTACATGGGGTTCAGGACTTCGTGCGAGAGCAAGAAAAACCATTCTCTAGAAGGAAATGAGCCGAGATTACGCCCAGCACTCACGCGGACGGGAGCTTAAAACACACAGTGACCTGCCAGCTCCTGCACTGCCAAACGTCAAGTCGGTGTCCCTACATGCGACACGCTGACTTCTCTGCACACTGTCGGGTGTCCCTGCTCACCGCCACGGTGGCCTGTGTAGGTCCCACGTTTTCAGTCCACCCCGTGCAGCCATCTTTCTGCAGATGACCTGCCCCGCCCACCGGACTGCACGCTCCGCAGAAGCGAAAGCCCCGTCGTCACACCGTTTTGCGTCCTTCACTCTCGCGGGCCTTGGGACCGATGCGCAGTGGGCGGCAGTGAGCACCTGCCCGGGACACTGACATTCGCGCACTGCCGCCGTGGAACTGTTTCGATTTTATGCCAATGCATTAAAAATGGAAGTAAATTTTTAAAAGTAAAATCTTTAAATGGAATACACATTCTCTAAGGCCTCACCACCTACTTCGCCTCATTTCTAAACGTCCAACACATGAAATCCGACTGTAGGCAACATCAGTAACGGACGTCACCGCACACGGCCAGCGCTCGCCCCGGGGGTCCCCCGCACTGGGAGCGCTGGGCTCCCTTCCACGCGGCCACGCGGTCCCTACCTAGCCCCGCCCCGTTCCTCACTGCGTCCCGAAAACTTAGTGTCAGTTTCAAAGAAAAATCATTTCTGGGCACGCAGCTGTCATCCTGAGATGACAGGGCGGGCTGGCATGGGGTGAGGGGTGTGCACTCCCCTGAGAGAGGTGGCCACCGATTCGGCCACTTGAGGCCACGCGAGAAAGTGGGAATGCAGACCAGGGGATTTTAAAAAGCCAGAAATCTTGCTTCTCAAGCAGAATCCAGTGATTAATGTTGTCAAGTAATTTTACAAGGCGACCTCGGAGATGCCTGACGGGCAGAGAGGGGAGAACTCAAACAACAGGAACTGAGAAATGACAAGCTCCAGGCCCCAGGCCTGGATCCGGTCCCAGCGGAGCAGCTGAGCCAAGCCGACCTCCCGCTCGGACAGGAAGTGGGACGAGTCCGGGGAAGAGGACGGAGCAGACACGGTGACAACGAGCTCAGACACGGAATCGGGAAATCGCGCTGCCAGTTGCTGCGGACCCCCGAGCAGACAGCAGCCCGGAGGACTGAGCCCTTCCGGAGAGGACCGCCGTCCACGCCACCGCACCTGCACCTGACACCGCAGAGGAAGAGGGGACGTTCCGACTAGCAAGGGGCTCCTCCACACTCTCAATAAACCAAAGGGGCACAGAGGCTGAAAAACTATGAGACAACAGATGAGCTAGCAGAGCCTAGAGGAAAACAGAGCGAAACCACTAACGAAAAATCTCACTAGAAGCAGCGAAAGTCAGGGCGGCACTCCCAACAGTGACATGAGCACAGGTCTGAGAAAAACCGAAACATGGAAAAGCACAGAGATGAAGGTCAGAAAAGAGGACAGACATGGAAGAGTGACGAAGGACGTTCCACCCATGACCGACGTTCCGAAGAAAAACAGGACAAATGCAACAGAAAAGTATTCGAAGACGTAATTGAAGAAAAGGTTCCCTAAATCAAGGAAGATCTCAATACGTTCCTTGAAAATATATAAAACAATCAACGATGAAATTAATGAACTTCAGGAAAGGGCTGTGTGGACCGGGCTCCGCGGCAGGGCACTGGCACCCGCGGCTGGGGACAGCAGAGTGCTGTGCAAGACACCCACGTCCCGGCAGGTCGCCGTGTGTGGACAAAAGCAGCGGCAAACACAACCGTAAACGTGCGAAGCTGCAGGGACGTGTGCACCGCCCTCGTGAACGCCTGAGCACGCCGAAACCAACGCACGAACCAAAGGACTTTGGGAGTGAGAAAATCAGGTCAGAAGGAGCAGACTGTATGCATTAAAACTGTCAAACTATCAAACCGAACCAAAACAGGTGAGGTAAATAAGGGTTCAGACAAGAATGTGAAGGTTTTAAAGTCAGACACTGAAAATAACACCACGTTTCATTTCTAAGACATACCTTTATTTTTAGTGTCTGAACATTTCTTTCTGAAACTGAGAAATCACAGTAGATGTGACATGAACACTTACTGTGGTAGGCACTGTTTCTTTTCTGAAAAAAAGCTTCTTACTAACGTTCCCGATGAGACAGACAGTATGCTAACGTAACCCCAACCCTGATGGCACCACACACACGCTCACCAGCCGTGCCTAGTCCCACATCCCTTTCTGCCAGTTGCACTAAAATTGTGATTTCATAATTCTGCGCACCTGTGAAATATGAGTTCATACTTCATAGAGTTCACACTCTATGAAAAGCAAGTTTAGTTCTTTGGAAAGATTTAATGAAAGTATTTTGCTAAAAAAAACAAATTATTGTCAAATTAGGTTTGGACAAAGCAATTGAAAAAAGCATTAAAAGGGTTTCCCACTTATTGCTTCACAAGAGTCTACTATTAACAATATATTTAGTGAGTGTGGAAAACTTTATTCTCCAAAGGACTCAAACTGGATTACACACAAACATAAAACCAACAGACACTGTTATAACAGCAAAAAATAAGAAACAACTTTACACATGCTGATCCATTGATTATATCTCCGTATAATGGAGTGCTGTACGGCCATTAAATAAAGCATTTCGCTCTCTCTGACGCGGAAAGATGTCCACGATACACAAAATGACAACATCGAGTTGCTATATTGTGCACACTGTATGATCAGTTGTTTAAAAAACACAGCAAACTCGTACTATATCACACATATATACAAAGTTATATATATGTGCAGAGAAAATGTACAGGATAACCAAGAAAGTAATAATGGTTACCTCTAGAACTGTGACTTTTAATTTTTGTTCTTAAAAATAATTCTAGATTCCTATTAAAAATATATCTTTTCAAGAATACATCCATTGCATACAATGGAGAGACACTATTTAAAAGCAGATGCGTTTTCATTTTACCTTGCTAAACCACCATAATCAAGTCCTTCTTCTCCTCTAAATATTACATATAATCGCCTCCTCAAGTCATAGGGTTTTAATGCCATAATCTAATTAAAAACAAAAACATGGATATTTAAACACTCATATGCAGCACAAGTTTCTTCCAAAAACAATTCAATTTAAATTTCATTGGTATTTTCAAAATTACACATTTTCTTATTTCAGATGACAACGCCTTTAAAAACTCTTAAGATCAACTGATTTGTCCACACGCCTCCGCCTCACCTCTCCCCCGCCGCGTGTGCTGAACAGTGGCAGCGGAGGAAGTTGGACACGGAAAGCTGTAAGGTTAGAAAATATTCCCTTCCCCATCATTCCCCAAATGCTGCCAAAATCTTACAAAAAAGGGACTTTTAACTTTTTCCGAGAAGCAAAAGACCTTGCTCTGGGTCCTGCTTAGGGCACTCATCCCATTTCTCAGGAGGGAACGGACTCAGCTATAGCAAGGAATTATTTACGGGACAATGAATTTATACGTAAGATAGTGTATCGTAAAGCAATACGTATGGCCAAGCTTTCATGATCCTCAATGGCTTATGTTAAGGTTACTAGTAAATAGGCTTTAGTTTCGGATAAAAATGAATTCCTCCTGCCACACTCATGCCAGGACGCGGGCCGAGGCTGGCACGTGGATCGGGCCCCGCCCGCGACAGCCGGCCACACGGGCAGTGGGCCGTCCTGCGCAGCAGACCGCGCTGGAGCCCGAGGCAGAGCGCGGCCAGGCCACTGTGAGCTGCGATGCACACTCACTGAAACGAGGCTCGCACAGAGCCGGGCCCGAGGCTGATCCATTTGACACTTATATCTGTGGCTAAGAGTTTATTAATTCAAACAAAAATGATTTGGTAACAGCTGTATGAAGTGTCTTGTTCAAAAGCCGACAGCTGGCAGAATGCAGCTAGGGTGGGAGCGTCTCTGGCTTCAGAGGGCCGCTGTCCCTGTCTGGCCTGTCGCCTGAAGTCCCCATGCTCTGTACGTGTGCAAAGGGCATTCCGGCTCGTCACTGCACCGTTTTGCAGGGGATGGAGGAGACTGACGTGAGCAGCCCTCCACCTCCCCACAAAAGGTGACGTTATTTTGGTGGCTTATCTTTCAGTATTCTGCACATGACTCAGGCGGGCAGTCACGGAGTCACATCTGTCTCGTTCCCCGAGCGCTGGCTGAGCAGCTGCCCCGGACAGGGCTTCGCCAGGTGCTGGCCCACGGAGCTCACCTTCTCATCAGGAGACGGACAAAATGTGTTGGGCAGCAGCAAGTTTACCAAAAGGGGCCAAGGACCACACACGGCCAGAATGGGACTCGAGGGCGTGAGCAGGGCCTGCCACCCTAAGCAGAATGCTCAGACGCGTCACCAGCCTGCAGGAGCGGGCACTTGACGCAGGGCTCCTAAGGGCCTACGTAAATGGTCGCAGCACCAACACAGCTTGACTTGAGTTTGGTGCTACTATCGAGGCTTGTTTGAGTTAATAAAGTCTTAGGAAAGTAAGTGTCAAAATGTGTGTTTGTCCAGAAGCTGCTGAGCTCCCTTTCAGGAGACTCGTTCCCGCGGACTCTGCCAGACCCAGCACCTGTGCCTGAGAGGCGGAGACGGTGACAGGAGCCGTCTCAAAGGGGTGCTGTGGAGCCGGATTAAACGGAATGAGGCTGCCAGTGTGAGCACGTGGCGCTCATGCCAGGGCACGGGCTTGGCGATGGCTCTCGTTACGCTGGCACACAGTGAGCGGCCGGCACTGGCAGCTGCGCTGAGCGGCGTGAAGCCTCTGCGGCCCTCACTCTCGCTGACGAGGACACGAGCTGTGCTGTGGTCTTCCGACAGCGTCACCCTTACCTGCTGGAAGGAGTCTTCAAACAACGTCTGCCGGGACACGTTGATCTTTACGTGACTGGGTAGTGCATTGGACTAAGGACAGAAATAACACCGCGGTGTCACGCCGGCCGTGGCAGACGCGCCGTGTAAAGACAAAACTCAATGACTGTAACGTAAGGTCTATTTACCACTGTAGTACCTGGCACAAGTAACGGAAGTGAGCGAGTTTCCACCTAAAGCTGCGTTCGTAAGCAATCTGTGGCCCACCTTTAGTTCTAGAAAGAAAAAGAACAAAGCACATGTTAATGCAGGGAACGCTAGGTGCCAGACACTCGGCACGGACCTGGAGCGTGCCGGTCCTGCCGATGACAGGACAGCTACGCGCTGGGACAGACGTGAAGGTGCGCTTGGCGGGCCGACAGAGGCCGGAGCAGTGAGGACGCACGACGCCCCAGCGCAGAGCGAACAGTTACGGATGGGGCTTGTGTAAAGCGTCAGTCAGGAGAAACAAAGTCCACCACTGACTGCTTCAAAGAAAACCTGGGACAGTCCTCAGACCTGAGGACAGAGGCTTTAGATAGAAGAGACATGGAAGAAAATTCTACCGCGTCTTAAACCTAAGCTGAAACAAACATGCTGCTGGAGACAGTAAGCAAAGCAAAATCAGATCCCCAGGCAGAGGTGGCATCCAGGTCACACAGCTCAGCTGTCAGGGAGGAAGGGCAGGGCGGGGGGCATGCAGGTGGCTTTACAAATACAGCTCAATGCCACGAAGACGGCCCCAGAGACGAGCACAAGCAACGCTCAGCATCTTAGGGGACACCTGGCAGGGAGGGGCGCGTTCTCGCGCTGTCGGGTGCTAGTGAATTCATTCGGCGCATGATCGTGGGACGCACGGGATGCACCTGGCGCGCTCCTGGACAGCGGGGGCGTTGGGAGGAAACAGGAGGAAAGGCCCGTTTCTGTGGCGTTTAAGCACCAGTGGAGGAATAAGTACACCTGAGGCGTCTTTCCAGAAGGGGTAACGTCCCAGCACTCCTGCCCCCCCCGCCCCGGGAGGGCCGGCAGTGTGGGAAGCACGGGAGTGGGACGGGCGGC